ACAAGAGGCCATGGCGAATTCATGGAAATGAGAATAGGTGGCTATAGCCAAAGCCTATGGGTGGGGCATGGAGTGAAAGTGAAGGAGATGGTGAGAGATGAGATCAGAGGAACCAGAGTCTAAATCTTTAAAGACTTTGTACTTTATGTGGAAGAAATTGGACTTTTTTTCTAAGAGCAATGGGGAGCCATTTAACAGTTTCAGGTAAGAAGCAACACAATTAGAGTTTTATTTGACAAAACCCACTCTAGCTGTGGGGTATAGAAATGATTGCAGGTGGGGCCAGGCATGCTGGTTCACGCCTGTAATCCCAGCACTTTGGGAGGCTGAGGCAGGCGGATCACCTGAGATCGGGAGTTCAAGACCAGCCTGACCAACATGGAGAAACCCCTTCTCTACTAAAAATACAAAATTATAGGGGTATGGTGGCTCATGCTTGTAATCCCAGCTACTCAGGAGGCTGAGGCAGGAGAATCACTTGAACCTGGGAGGCAGAGGTTGCAGGGAGCCAAGATCATGCCATTGCACTTCAACCTGGGCAACAAGACCAAAACTCCGTCTCGAAAAAAAAAAGACATGATTGCAGGTGGCTAAAATCAGAGGTGGAGGCAGGGGGAGCAGCAGGGCAGGCGTCTGTTTGTGGGCGTGGCCCGCGTGAGACATCTAGTGGCCCATACTGGAGAGGTGGCAATAGGGATGGAAAGAAGTGGCCAGGAACCTGAAACCTGTATGTAGATAGTTGAATCTACAGGATGCGGTGACTGATTGGATGTGAGGAGTGAGTAAGAAGGAGGAGTCCAAGATTCTGACCCAGATTTCTTGTTCAGACACCTGGATGGTTTGTGTCACTGTTGTCTGAAATCATGGCCACATAAAAGCCAACAGGTTTGAAGGGGAAGATGAACGTTCTGCTCGGGAATTAATAAGTTTGAAATGAGTGTGGGGCAACCAGGAGGAAATACCTAGTAAGCAGGTGGTATAAGAGTCAGAAGCTCAAAAAAGACATGCAGACAGAAGGTACAAACTTGGGTCTAAATCAGCATTCGAAAAGTCTTCTTTGAGAACCTTGTGCCAAGCACTGTTTTAGACAGTTGTGCTGCTATAGTGGACAAAACACACAAAAGTGCTTGGGTCCCCATGGGGCTTATTTTCACGTAGACGGTAACTGACGATCTGCAGAGAGGCCTCTTTGCCCAGAGAGCAACGACAGAAAAGAACTGAGCTAAGAATACTGGGAAGCGATAGAAATTAAAGGATGCACAGAAGAAAGGAATCTGGAAAATAGACTGACAGCCCTGAAAATTGCCAGATTCAAGATGGGGGCGACACGTAAGGCAGGGCCCCATGTGGGATGGGGAAAGAGCTAAGGCAGGACGGTCTTAGGATTCGAGAGCCCTGAACGTGCTTGAATGCCACTGGGAAAGAACCTGGTGGGGAGAAGGGGTGCAGATACAGGAGCTGGCGCTAGAGCAGGAGGGTAATTCGGAACCGATGTGGAGAGGTGCGGAGTAAGGTGGGAGGCGAGCCCCGCCCACTGTACTAGAACACGGGGAAAGGGGAGAGGATGTGTGGATGCAGGTGTTTGCAGGTGTGGAGCCAGGATGCGGGAGAAGTGCTCATCTGATGGCACCTGTTCCCTCTATCGGGGACAAGGTCATCTGCCCACAGTAAATGAGAGTGGAGTGGAAGTTTGAGAAAAATGGGCTATGTTGAAATAGACACCGTGGTGAATGGGGAGAGCAAATTGAGAAGCCAAGGGGAGCTGCTGGGAGGCACTGGGTTGGGGGCCTCGGTGGGGCAATCAGATGAACGAAGGGCAATGAACCGAAGAACAGCAGGGTTAAAACAACGGATTTGAGTCAGTAGAATGTAGCTGGCAGTCAACGCTGCGGGCTCTGGTGTCAAAGTACTAGAACTCAAATCCCCCGTCTGAGCTTCTCAGGGGTGTGCACCATACAAGTCATGGTAAACGAGTGGGGCAAGGGGCAGATGAAATGAGAAAGGGAACTTGTTATATAAAAACTGTTGGGCCGGGTGTGGCAGCTCATGCCTATAATCCCAGCACTTTGGGAGGCCCAGGCAGGTGGATCACCTGAGCTCAGGAGTTTGAGACCAGCCTGACCAACATGGTGAAACCCTGTCTCTACTAAAAATACAAAAATTAGCCAGGCATAGTGGCACGTGCCTGTAATCCCAGCTACTCAGGAGGCTGAGGCACGAGAATCGTTTGAACCCAGAAGGCAGAGGTTGCAGTGAGCCGAGATCGCACCACTGCACTCCAGCCTGGGTGACAGGCGAGACTCCGTCTCCAAAACCAAAACAAATATCTAAAAAAACAAGCGGTTGAAGCTGAGAGCCACTTGGAGTTCAGTGATCACTGTGACACACACACATATTTTTGAGAACGAGTTTCACTTTTGTTGCCCAGGCTGGAGCGCAATGGCGAGATCTTGGCTTATCGCAACCTCCGCCTCCTGGGTTCAAGCGATTCTCCTCCCTCAGCCTCCCCAGTAGCTGGGATTACAGGCACGCGCCACCATGCCCGGCTAATTTCGTATTTTTAGTAGAGACGGAGTTTTTCCATGTTGGTCAGGATGGTCTTGAACTCCCAACCTCAGGTGACCCGCCCACCTTGGCCTCCCAAAGTGCTGGGATTACAGGCGTGAGTCACCGCACGGGGCCGACATATATTTTTAAATTTATTTAGTAAAAAGAAAAAATAAATCCTCCAGAGCCCCTAGTACTCCAATGACACCCAAACTTGCAGAGCACAGCCATTCCTGGTCACATCAAGCTACTTGCCCTCCCCCTCTAGGCGCCAACTACTTGCTGTGGGGGTGTGAGTCTGTACTGATGCATGCTCCTCCCTCAGCCTTGGGGACACCCCCCATCACCCCAATCATCACAGCTGTTGGTTGCCTTGTGCTTGCCCCTCCTCCCAGAGGAGAGGAGCACACCCCTGGAAGCCCTAGGTGACGCTGCCCAGCCTTCCTGTCTGGGCACCCACATTAATCACAGCCAACCCACCATGCCTTGAATGTAGCTTCCATCCCCCTGGGTGTCCTCTCCTCTGGCCAACCCTTCTGTAATGCTCCCCAGTGTGGCTACCTCACCTGCCTGAAGCCACCTGACTCAAGCTGGACAGGTGCAGCCTTGTCCTGGCACCTCCCAGGCCTCTCATCTCTCGTGAGCCTGCAGTTCTGCTCAGCCCTGGAACTGCACCATCCTGCTGAGGGCCTCCGCATGTCTGAGGGGCTTGGGAAAATATGCTGCATAATTTGAGTTTAGTCCAATAGGCTGCCTTCGCCTCACATTTAGCTGCTGTCTTGATTTTTTCCTTTTTGTTCCCTGCTTCTGGAGATTCCAGTTGAGCAAACCAAGCCAGGGTTTAGAGTGAGAAAGTTGGGGGGTGAAAGCGAGGACCCCCCCCCCCACCGCCGGGTCAAAGGCTCTTCTTTCCAGGAACCCAGGGCAGAGGCCACCTGGGTCCCCTGTAGGCCGTGAGCACACATCTTCATGTGCACCCAGCCACTGTGAAAATCAAATTTCATCTCAGCTCTGGGCGTTTCTCTGTAGTGGTTCTCAACACAAGACCAATAAACCTGACACTTGCTGGGAGCGAAATCCAGTAGGAGAGAAGTGGTCTAGGACATAAGCCCGTAAGTCAACCTCGTATTACTAAGCTTCCTAATTTAGGAACTGCACTCCGGGCCCTAACACCACTTTTTGGAGGCAGGGTCGCTGTTTATGTTTCTCTCAAACCCAGGCTGTTAGTGCAGAGGTCCCCCTAGGCCTGCCTGCTCCAGCTGCCCCCGTCCTGGTGTCACTGCCTGGGAATGAGCTGTGCCACCATCCAGCCCAGTCCTGAGGGACGCCCAGACAGGGCAGCAGACACCTCCATGTGGTGCTGCCTCAGGGGGCAGAAGGAGGTGCACCACCTGCTGTAAGCTGAGGAGGGAGGAAGTGGATCTGGAGCCTCGGAAGGAAGTCGGGGGACAGGGGAGTGGGGGTGCTGGCTGTGCAGAAATGAACAGGGTGGGCCGCTGTGCTCAGGGGCATCCTTGCTCCGGACACAGTGATATGTCTAGGAGATACTATGGTAGCAATCTCCACTTATGTGGCAAAATATGTTAGGAAAATGACCCAAATGCCAAAGGGGAGGAAGAAACCATTCCAGGGGCCAACCTTTTGTTTGTGAGGGAAAACACTATTTTAATTCAGACTAGCTTTAAGGCCTTCCATTCATATACAGATCCAGTTAGATTCCAAACAGCAAAGAGGTCATCGATCAGCTCATTTGATCTGAAACTGTAACAAGACTTTGCTAAACATTGTAGGAAAATAACCCAGCATGGTGTCCTCGGCACTGTGCGTCCATGGCGGCTGAAAGCTGGGCCTCCTGTGGTCTGCCTGCCCTAAGCAGCCGTGCACGCACGCACACCTGCCTACCCCACCTGCCTGGGGCACGGGTGGCCACAGGCGCCCTTCCCAGAACCGCAGCTCATGTCAGGTTTGGCACATACATTTTATTTTACTTTCACATTGACACATTCAGGAAACCATTCTGAGAAAAGGTAGAGGCCGCCTTGAAGCAAAGCCTGACTCCCTCCTCTGCCCCGGGCTCGGCAGCACCATGCAGGCTCAGGCTGGCACTCACCCCAGGAAACTGTCCCGGGTCACGGCGGCCCTGGCTGTGGACGGTATCTGAGATGGTCGCTGTGGCTTGCCCTGCACCAGGGCCTACCTCGCTGCCAGGAAGTCACGCTGCTGGAGGCTACCTGGGCCATGGGTTTTATTGCTGGTGAACTTGGTTACCCACCTTCCAGTCACATGGTCCAGGATGGTGGCATGATGAGAAATGGCTCTGGCGGTGCCCATTTTGCTGAGATGAAAGGAATCGAAATATGTAAACAACACTGAATCCTGTGATGCTGGCATGTGGCCCCTGCTAGTCTTCAGCTCCAAGGTGGGAGCTCCCTGGAGGAGACAGGTGGAGATGGACCCCCACACACCACACCACCCTCTGGCCATCGCTGACCACGGGAACAAAACAGTCACAGAAAGAATGCTTTGCCTCCACAATCGTAGCAGCACACAAATGAAGGCCAGAGGTGCCGTTTTATTCCTCAGATCTGATGCTGCAAAAGCCTCTGTGGTTTCAGCAGTCCCCTTGCTTCTCTGTCCCTCCTCAGAGTGCTGGGTGCTGTTCCTGCAACCAACCAGTGACCCAGTGACGGGTGAGGCCACCCCAACTAGCCAGGAGAACCTCAGGGGCATCCCCTTCCTTGACACCTGAGGGAAATGGCTCCTAACGCTGTGTGATGCGTCCTCCCTGCTGGGCTGTCAAACTGCAAATCTTAAGTCTTCTCTCCCCTATGAGGTAAGCAAAGGCCAGCGACATCCTAATGACAATGGCAGGGGTGGGGGCAGGGTCCTCAGAGCATCTTACATCTGAACTAAGCTGTAACAGTCGGGGTCCTGAGTCATATGTCGAGGCAACTCACAGCCCTGTGGGAGACCCCAGGCATCCTAAAAGGAGGGGTGTGGTGGAGAAAGGGTCATTTCTGGGCTCCGACCTCCACCTGGTTAGCCCCAGGTCTAACAGAGATATTTGAATTCATAGGTCCTATGCATTAGTTTAGCAAAAAGTCTGGTTTCTGGTACCCAAAGAGCTTAAAGTCCCCTTCGAAACGTGCATACAGGCGTCGGATGTCTCGTTTGCTGATGCCCAGGAAATAGTGCTCCACCTTGGTTCTGTTATACACGGTGATGCCCGGAGGGATGGTCGGGTATGACACCAGGTGGTCAATGCCAGCCTCTTTTAAGATGTAGGGGGCATCGTCCTCCAGGGTCTCGTGGTGTCCAATCACACTGTACATTATCTCACAGGGCGCACAGAGCTCCACATACGTCACCCAGTGAATGATGTGGTCCCCAAACTGAAGGTCTAGCCATCTGTGGTTCGGATCGCCCAGGTAGCGCACGAAATCTTCAAACTGGATCCCCCGGGTCTCCGTCCGGTTCCTCCTGTATTTTCTGATGATGCCAGGGGCAATCTCATGCCTGTACCAAGGCTCAAACCGGGGATTGTGAACAAATTTATCCTTAAATGCAGAAATAAGTCTTTCGAAGGGATCTCTTACAATAAAAAACTTGAAGTATGTTTTCAATCTAAGGAAAAAAATGAACAAGAGGTTAACTTGACACCCCAGGAGGTCATAGCTGAGGGGGCGGGAGAGGGAGGAGTGAGCGGAGCGCAGCACTGTGCATGGGACCCTCACCTGCCGAGGCTGCCGTGAACGCATTCCACACGTCTCTTACTTAATCTACTCCAAGATCCTGTGGATTAATCCTGTTATTACCCCACTTGGCAGGTGAGGAAACGGAGGCTTGGAAAACCTTACCTGTCCAAGGCCACAGCACTCATCGTAGGCAGTCACTGTAAAGACATCTATTTAATCTACATTCTGTTTTACTTGAATGATTCAAAATCATTCATTCAATGATTCAAGAATGTTTACAAATGTTGTTCCTGGGCAGAAAATCCTAAGGGCAGGAACTACGAGTGAGTCAGGAATAGATGAGGCCAGGGAAAGTTACTTTAAGGGCATATTTTAAAAAATTCAATTCCAGTTGCCAGGGGAAGGGGGGCAAGAGAAAATGGAGAGTCAGGCTTCACACTCCAGCGGGCAGACGCGGGTCTGGGTGAGCTGCCAGCAGGCGGCAGCAGAGCAGGGCCCTGGGGAGGAGGGCCGGCAGCAGTGACGATGACAACAGTGACACCACGGAACACGGCGTGCTTACGACGGGCCAGAAACTGCTCTCTGTGCTTTGCACGTCTTCACTCACTGAGTCTCACAAAAGCCCCACGAGTGCTCAAGGCGACAGCAGGACAGTCCTCACCAGGAGCATCTCTGGTAAGGGTTGTAAGGGTGGACGGGCGCCATGCAAGGCAGGTGGATGCAGACCCAGGAGGCAAAATCCAGCTGGTGACCTGATGTGAGCTGCTGCTTCTGTATCCTCACTGCTTTTCAGCTTTGCTGTCCCAGGCCACCTGAGAGCTACTGCATGAGAACTTTCTCACTTATTAGCTAACGACTCCATCTTTTTTTTTTGAGACGGTCTTGCTCTGTCACCCAGGCTAGAGTGAAGTGGCCAGATCTCGGCTCACTGCAACCTTTGCCTCCAAGGTTTAAGCAATTCTCCTGTCTTAGCCTCCCAAGTAGCTGGGACTACATGTGTGTGCCACCATGGCTTTTTTTTTTTTTTTTAAAGTAGAGACGGGGTTTCTGTCAGTCACACTCGTCTTGAATTCCTGACTTCAAATGATCCGCCCACCTTGGCCTCCCAAAGTGCTGGTATTACAGGCGTGAGCCACTGTGCCCAGCCTGGACTCCATCCCTGCCGCGATCAGGGGTTCTGTCTCTCTGCCCTGCCCATGCTGGGTGTAGCCCACACAACCACTCCGGGGGCAGCTCCCACGGCACTGGGCACAATGCCCCTGGGAGAATCAAATACTCAGTGAGGTCTCTGCAATCCAAATCCCTTTCTTGTAAAGAAAAGATCATATTCAGCAAGCAATCTATAAAACTTTACCAAAGGAGAACAAAGTTGTCTGCTCATTTCTATCAATAAAATTATGTAACCTTCATGTTAATGGACTGTGTGAAGGTGAGGCTGGAAATTCTCAGAAGGAACTGAGAGTTGAGAGGAGCTGAATGCGGGGTGAAGTTAGCTGCCTCTCACTGATGCAAACCGACAACCCTCTGTGGTCCTCCAATCAACCTGGCAAGTACAGAACTGAGCCTGGGGTTTTCCCAAATTTCTTCCCAGGTTTACAAAAACTCCCCCCTCCCCTTTGAGGAAGCTGCTCTCACCGCTTCTGAATTTCTGCATCACTGAAGGAAGAGAGCCGAGGAAGGCCGTTCTTCTCGTGGTCGTGCACCACGTTTTCGGGGATCTCCTCAATGGAAGGAAAGGCTCCTGGGAAGTAAACAGAAGGGAAGGCGGGTTGGCTGCTCCAGTGCGCCCCTTAGAGAAGGGCATGTCCTTACCTCGGGCCCCATGTTCCCCACGTGTGCATGACACGCCCACCCCCAATATCCAAGTTTAGGTCTTTGAGTTTCAACCGCTTCTGCCAGCAGGAGGAGAGAGTGAAGAAAAGCTTCCGGTGAATCCATAAGCCAACTAGAGGAAACTGACGCTTTCAGAGGGGAGGGGGAGGGAGCAGGAGTGGAAATGCTGGCAGTGCCTACCCCTGGCAATGGACCTAACTGGGCTAAATCTGCCATTAGAGGAAGATTGCTGCATGCAAACAGAATTCCTAACACCAGCAACACTTACTCTACTCTGAGACTGGGGGAAAATGCCGGAGAAGCAGGACTTTGGAACGTCGTGCTAACAGATGCCGGCGGCAGCTTCACAGCCCTATCCCATAGACAGGCTAGGCTCTCCAAGCACCACATGCCGCCCGGCCCACAGTGGCGCTCAGGTACCCCCGGAGCATCCCAGACTGGCAAGGAGCAAGGACCTTTGATGCTGGAAAAATCTGACTAAGCTATGGGATACATTTGAGACAGGAGTCAAAAGAGGACAAGGCGTGTCGAGTAGGCAGGGCCGTGCCAACAGCCAGGGTCTGTCATCAGGGACCAGTGCAGGTCCAGGCTGCTGAATGGAACTTGGGCAGGGTCATCCTCGGCCTGGGGGCCGAGCAGGTTTTTCACTCTTTTCTCAATGCAGACAAATGGAAATAAACGTCAGTATGCTGAGGTTTTCTCCAAGCCTCTGCAAACCTTAATATCCATCTCTGTGTTAATCCTGTAGGGTTAAGATTGAAGACCTGGCAGGGAAGACTCTCCCTTGGCCCCCTGAGCAGTGGACACAGTCTTGTCTGTTTTATTCATTCCTCCCCCGAGTGTTTAAAGCCTAGTCCAGAACTCTGCAGTATGTGCTATGGATGGTTGCAAATTAGGCGTGGGGAGCACTGCTCTCAAGGGCACAATGGCAGAACCAGCTCTGTGGGTCCATACATGGACCCATTCACATACCTGTCCCCATCCAGGTACACCAGTGGTCACCGAAGACAGCCACAAGGACCACCCGCTTCTGTATTACATGACACAGCAAGCCCACTCCGATTTCTACACTGCCCTTGTAAGTGGGTGTTTACTTCTTAAAGTATGCTGCTTCACACTGTGGTGGTTGATTTGTGAGTCTTTTGTATAGTTCTTGTTTTCAGTTTGATTTGCAGCCTCCTTCTGCTTCTGAAAACCCAGCATGCTATCCAATGACTGCAGAAGCACATTAACTATATGTGACAACCGGAAGACGAGATGCCACCATTCTCTCTCCCAGCCAACCTGTGTGAAGGCCGAACAGCGGCCAGGAGCGACCACGGACTCTGTGGGCAGCATCAGGAGTGGCAAGCAGGACATGGAGCCCCAGGACCACCCACCCACGGTGCCCCAAAATCTGATTCCTGATCCAGGAGTCCCACTGCTGCTGACAGGAACTAACTTCTGTCTGAAGCTAAATTTCATAAGCAGAGCCCATAATTATGAGGATAGGTTTAGACTAATTGGAATTAAAATAAATAAACATCTCTTTTTAAAAAGAGTAGTGAGTAATCAAAACTGCCGTGTATGAGGTCACTTTGTGATGATCTAATCTGTTCCCTAGCAAACATCAGGTTTCCTGAAGCAAGCTGACTCAATCCTCTGAACGCAGATGCTTAGTGTGAAATCGGGCACAATTTCTTCCTGCTCGCTGACAAAGAACGCTTGGTCTGCAGGTAAAGAGGCCCCAGGCCCCGGGCCGGGCCTCCCCTCCCAGGATCTATGGTGTGAGCCCTTCTCATTGCAGAGAGGGTAACCGTGAGGCTACCTGGCGGCTCAGCGAGTGTGGGGCTCTGGGGACGTGGGACACAGTGGGTGACCATAACCATCAGTGCAGGGAACCTGAAGAGACAAAGGAGGGGGGCCTGGGGGTGGGCGAGCCACCAAAAGTGAGGATCCGCTGTGACAGGTGAGGAGAGCCGGACTGTGGCTGTGCCCCTTTGAAAAGAATCGGTGTCTAAACGAGCCCCCCTAACTTTTAAGGCACAACACTAACAGGAAACCACAAAAGCAGGCCTGACTGGAAGGCCACCAGCCCTTTCAGGCGAAACCAGCCCCTGTGTGACTCCTCCCGGCCGTCCTCCCCAGCCTCCTCAGCCACGGCCACCGAGACCCTTCCCAGAGGGACACTCCGCGAACCCACACACACCGTTCAGAACAATCAGTACTTTCTTCCACTGGGTGTTCCCCACTTTGGGAGTCTGGCAGAAAAGAATCCTGTGCTTGTCACAGACAAATATTCGGTCCAGGACAAACTTGGAGACGGGAGTGTGCGAGAGATTCTTCAGGGCGTCATCCCTGCAGACGTTTCTGATGAGTTCCAGGCGCTCCATGTAGACCAGGGGTTGAACGAGCCGGCTGTCTGGAAGCTCCTTCCCAGTTGGCTGCAGGTGACACGGAGCAGAAGAGGCCCAGGGACCATTAAAAGAGGCAGGAACGGGTCAAGCAGAGCTGCTCCTGCTGGCCTATCCCCTCCTTTCCATCTGGGGCCCTCTTTTCTTCCCTTCTTTGCCTTTCTACAGAGTGACACCCACTACCCCCAGCCCCCTCCCGAGGCCTTCCTCAGAGCCTCTCCACCAGCCTGATCGGCAGGCTGGGCAAGGAAAATGAATGCAAGCTTGGTTCCTCGGACGTCTTTGGAGATAAGTTTGACTTTAAGAAACAAAATAAGGCCGGGCACAGTGGCTCATGTCTGTAATCCCAGCACTTTGGGAGGCCAAGGTGGGCAGATCCCAAGGTCAGGAGTTCAAGACCAGCCTGGCCAACATACTGAAACCCCATCTCTACTAAAAATACAAAAATTAGCTGGGTGTGGTGGTGCACGCCTGTAATCCCAGCTACCTGGGAGGCTCAAGCAGGAGAATCACCTGAACCTGCGAGGTGGAGGTTACAGCGAGCCTGAGATTGCACCACTGCACTCCAGTGTGGGCATCAGAGCAAGACTCCGTCTTGGGGGGGAAAAAAAAAAAAAGAAAATTAAAAACCAAAGTAAGAGGTTTGGAATCCTCTGGCTAGGGGGAAAGAAAATGAAAAAGCTCAAATTCTACATGCTGGTCCTTTCTTTTCAGGGCTGTTTTAGAACCTAAGAGAATACCTGTAACGTGAGAGGCCTCGTGTGTGCGTGGGTTGGAGGGGGCACAGGGAGATGTACCAGTACACACAGAAGTTGCTCAGAGGCCCCCTGTCCTCGGTGAGTTGAAGTCCCCTTGCTGCTCACACCTCCTTGTTCCCCGGGGGTATCCCGAGGGCACTCCTGAATAGCAGGGCTGCTTCCGCCAACACCACTCCATCCGCCTCCTCTAGCTGTGGCCCTGTTTCTCAGCATTTTGGAGGCTTCTGCTGCTACATCTATCATCTCTTAAAGCTACACAGAACTTCCCAAGATTTCAAAGCAGGCGATCCTTCCAAATAATTGTATTGAATGGACCCAAATGTCCCTGTTATATCTTTTAAAATGCGCTAGGCTTGCCAGGAAATCCATTTATAGGGTAGTTTTAACAACCTGTCCTCCCAGGGGACAATGTCAGTTAGAAAATGGGAAGGATGTAAGCCTCCTAGAACACACTAGAATGCAGACGCTGGAACTATCAGGATGACAGAGGGCGCCCCTCAATGCCCCCTACCCAGTTCTTCCTTTGTGGATCTACTGTAACCAAACTCCCTTACACTCATGACCTCTGGCCAGGATGCTTTCTCCCTCGTGTGTTTAAGTGAATTTCCTGGGACTCCCTGGTGGTGGGAAGAGCGTCCTGGGGGCTCCTGACTGCCTGTTTTCCGAGATGAAGACACTGAAAGCGAGAGGCCCCTTTGCAGAGTGGCCTCCGTTCCTCCCCACAGGGCATCAGCGGCTGCCCGGGGCCCTCCGCCCGCCACAGAAAATCAGGAGCCACGCCAGGCACTCTCCTTGCTCTTAGAAGAACGGGTCTCATTTAACCTCACTTCCTCATCCATCCCGCCTCTTGCTCACTTATCCCAAAAAAGCCTCTGTCTTCTCCTCCCTCTGTTCCAAACCTAACCCCGATCATGGATGGCACTCAAGAGCAGCGCGTCAGGGGAGAGCACGTCCCAAGTTCCCTTTAGAAAATGCAGAAAACTCTGCCCTTTTAAATATTGCTTTCCTTTGAACAACAAGAGAAAAGATATTAGATATTGCTTTTCTTTGAGCAAAACATTAAAGACAAAGACAAAAATTCTTCTCTTAAGGGACGAGGTCTCGTTCTGTCACCCAGGCTGGAGTGCAGTGGCACAATCATGGCTCACTATAGCCTCCAACTCCTGGGCTCAAGTGATTCTCCCACCTCAGCCTCCCAAGTAGCTGGGGTTATAGACACACACCACCATAACCACCTAATTTTTGTATTTTCTGTAGAGATGAGGGCTTAGTATATTCCCCAGGCTGGTCTCGAACCCCTGGGCTCAATCGATTCTCCTGCCTTAGACTCCCAAAGTGCTGGGATTACAGGCGTCATAAGCCACCATGCCCAGCTAAAGAAAAAAAATTTCCTGTTCAATTGTGTCTACGAATGAGCACTGTTTTCTTTTTTCCCTTTGGAAATATACAAAACCAATTTAAAGATAGATATCATTTTCTATTTTCCATTCAAACATTTGGCTACATCATGCACAAAATAAAGTTTTTTTTTCTTTTGAGACCAAGTTTTGCTCTTGTTGCCCAAATGGGAGTGCAATGGCACGATCTCAGCTCACTGCAACCTCTGCTTCCTGGGTTCAAGTCATTCTCCTACCTCAGCCTCCCTAGTAGCTGGGATTACAGGCGCATGGCACCACACCTGGCTAATTTTTTTGTATTTTTAGTAGAAATGGGGTTTCACCATGTTAGCCAGGCTGGTCTCGAACCCCTGACCTCAGGTGATCTGCCCGCCTCGGCCTCCCAAAGTGCTGGGATCACAGGAGTGAGCCACTGCGCCCGGCCAAAATAAACTTTTAAAGGTGAGCTATGGAACCCGATCACGTTGATAAATCCCCTTCCTTGTGAGAAGACACATGCTGGGTCAAGGAAACGTGGCCTCAGCAGACATCACCCCTGACATCCCCCACTTCCCTCACCTCCCATCTGAGTCTCATGAGAATGAATGCGGCAGGGGGTAAGAGAAGGGCACAGAGGAAACTGAGTTCAAAGCCCAGGCTCACAACTGGCTGTCCAGGGGATACTGACCCAGTGAGCACAGTTCCTTAAGCCTTATGTTTCCCAAATGCAAACTGAGAATAAAAATATGCCTCAGAGGGCGGCTCAGAAGACCAATGAGATTGAAACCCTGTAAAGTACACTGCAAACTGTAAAGCACATTCAGGCGCAGTCTTTTTATTTGCAACGACTCCTGCAGGCTGGCAATCTCTCCGGGAGCACCCTCCACCCAGAGAGAGGGAGAGGGAGCACCAAGATGACCGCCCTCTTCCTCACAGGATGTGGCATCCTCGAGGGAACCTTGTTGTGACACTTTGCCGAAGGCTTACCCTGCATTTGTTTTCACCCATGTAACTGATTTCCTTTTAAATCCATCCTATTAAAGTCACTGTCCTATTTTCCACAGGATTTTCTGGTCTTGTTTCTGTAGCCCATCCAAATTATTTTCTTACCCTGGGATGCCTCAACCTAAAAGCAACACCTAGGCTGTCTCAGAGTTCTGTAGACTTGACTTCCATTCCCTCAATGTCATACGAGAAGTAACCTCCAGCAGCACCCTACTCTGACTGGTGTGTGTGTTCTATGTTTACTGAGTTCTAATTTATCGTCCTTACACTGTGAACCATGGCTAGGAGCTGTCCCCATCTCTATGGCTTGATTCTGGGCTTAAAAATATTTTCGGGGCTTGCTGTACCCATTTCATCCCTTCTGGCACGATTGCAACTTCGACCCTCTAGCTCCAGAATGGGGGTTAGGAAGTGAGAGGCCTTCCAGAGTGCACCCCTCATCCCAGCTAGGGAATGATTAGGAATTTAGGTACACAAGAAGCCTGCAGAGAAAGACGCAGAGCCAGAATGTCAAGCCAGGCAAGGTCTAGGTGGAAGTGAGCAGGCCTGAGCTCCGCCAGGAACTCCGTGGGACTGTGGAGGATATGCCTTTTTCCTAGGCTCAGTTCTCTCATCCACAGAATTTGGAGGCTGAATTAGTTGCTCTACTGTCCAGGGCCCCCTTTTGCTCTAAAATCCCATGACTTGGTGAGACGTCTTCTCCCACTCCAGGTTTCCTCCTGACCCTGCCCAATACTCTCGGCTACCCGGGCGAGGCTCATGTTCACCTGGTCAGGAATGCCACCCAACCAACAGTGACAGAGCAGCCCTGATGCACCGAGCTCTGTGAGGAGCACAAAAATAGACCTGGCCTCTGCCTCCCCCAAATGGAAATTAACACAGTGAACTAAACATGGAGAAGTAACACAGGAAAAGGCTCTAACGCAGATGTGATGACAAGCGGAACCGGCCACAGGGGAAGGCCAGCTCCCCGTGCCGTGTTCGAGGGGACAAGGACCACGGCCTGGCTGTGCCCACCTTCAGTTCCTCAGGAATGTGCTTCTCTTCTGGCAACTTCCTCACTTCCGGCATGGTTGTCAGGAACAGAAACTCCTGTCTGGCACTGTACACTGGAAGACAGAGAAGTTGAATGTCTTCTCTAAAAGGAAAAGGCGCACAGGTGGATGGCACAGAACAGAGGCCCCAGAAATAGAAGCTCTCAAAGACGCTGGAATGCCTTTTGACAAAGCCACAAAAGCCATTCGGCGGAGGAGGGCGGTCTGTTCAACAAATGGTGCTGGAGCACCTGGACATCCACACATGGAACAAACCTCGATCCAAACCTCACCCCTTATTCAACAGTGAACTCAAAGTAGATCACAGACCTGAATGTGAAACATGAAACCAACAATCTTTTTAAAAAAACAACCAAGGAGAAAATCTGCACTGTGAAAGCCCATTTGAAGAGGAGGAAAAGACAAGCTCCAGACAGGGAAAAAATATTTACGAACTACTTATCTGACCAAGGACTCCTATCTAAAATATATAAAGAACCCTCAAAACTCAACAATTAAAAAAGCAACCAATCCAATTAGAAAACAGGTACGACACACCCAGACATCTCACTGGGGAGTATCCACAGACGGCAAATAAACACACGCAAAGATGGTCAAGGCTGCAGAGACCTTCACATCACAGGCTCTGCCCTCCAGAGGCTCAGAACAGATGAGGAGGTCAACCAGGAGAGAGGAAAAGCCAGCGCCTACACACACAAACCAGGTCCACAAGGGCGTCATTTTGAGTCTCGCCATATGATTCCATCACATTCCCTTCACTGAGGGGGATTTATATTCCTACGAGAAAATCTAGTTACAACACCTGATCCTAGTTCAATACGATACTGAAATTTGCTAACTGAGGATAAATCATTGCCACAAATATCACTGGCTTCACTGCTGAGCTGAACAGAAACTGTAACACTAAAAAAAGTGTTGCTTTAAACAGCAACTCAAGACAGCCATGCTCTTCCTAGGGGCTCCAGTGGCAGGAGAAACCGGGAAAGGCAGGTAGGTGAGAAGAACACGCACACCACTGACCGGGGTTCTGAGGCCGGCCCTGTCCCAGAGGACAGGGCAGCCCGGGAGCACTGAGGCCAAGGCTTCTCCACGCACTTTCCAGGAAATGGAACTCCCCGCTGAGGACACTGCTGCGTCTGTTATTTCCTCGTCGTGACACTTCACAATGGGCTTCCGGTTCATAACCAAAAACACCGTGAACATGTGTGAAATAAACTCCAACACGTGAAAAACCCTTTATGGCCACAAGTTGACAAACCCTTTGGGTTTGGGTTTGGGTTACACAACCCTTTGGGTTTCCTGTGCTGCCCAAGATCCAGGCTCCGGGGCACACTCTCTAAACACAGTGCTGGAGGGGCGGGCTCCAGGGGAGAGGCCTACACCACCCCAGCCCAGGGCCTCTCTGACGCCTGTAGGGCAGGCTCTAAGTGTAAATGCTCTTGATGCTTCAGCCCAGCGTCGTTGTGCACTGGCAAGATGCTGCGTGTCAGCTCGCATCCTGCATCCAGAACTCGGCCGGCGGGCATCCACCTTCAGGATCCTAACCAGGTACTTTGGGACAATTAGGTAACATCCCACGTGAGTGAAGCAGGCTGGGTAGTGCCGTGGCGGCCACCCCGCAACTGGAGTGAGCCCACGACAGAGGATTCTCGCTGAGTTCACTGGACACTGTGCGGCCAACAGCATCCTCAGCACCAGCACCCCTGCCTCGGGGTCCGGGGCAGCTCTCCCATCTCAGTGACCCAGCACCCACACGCCACAACACCAGATCTCACAGGGCAGGGGAAACGCCCCCTTCCACTCGCCTTCAGGCAGCCGGCTGGAAGGATCTCATGGGCAGGATTAAGGACCGCTGGCTGTGGTGCTCCTCTCCAGGTATAAAATCCGAAAGCCCTTCATCTTTCTTCATAGGTTTTATCTTCTAACACTCCCTACCACTCCTTTTCTCCTCTTCGCAAAACCCTGCTCCACGCCTACACTTGCTTTTTTTTTCTAACTGGGCCCACCCCTGCTTACCTTCCAGGATCAGTGTCTACACTGAAAACATTCAGCACGAAACTCGATACATCAAAGGAGAATGAGACCTCATCTACCAGACGCCGCTGGGAAGCACGGCATTCTTTAGAGGCCATTCTGCCAGGTAACAGTAACACACAAAGGCACATGTCTTATTTAACTATTACCGACAGAAGTCTCACTAAAATGTATCACATCTACTCCTACTTTTTTAAGCAAAATAAACCATAAACAATTTAACCTCATGACCTGGCTTTTGAGTGCCTTCCACACCAGGAGGCGACATTTAGGAGCATCCCGAGTAACACCTATTTCTTATTCTCAGAGCTCTGCTTCTCTTCCGTGCTCCAGCCAGGCTCCCCACTTGTGCTTCTCAACTGGCCGCACCCCTGGGGTTCTCCTCCACTGGGTCTCACGCACAGCAGGTTTGTAAAATCCCACAGGTGACTCTGAAGTGCTGCGGGGATGAGAACCACGGCGCTAGGGCTTCAGGACGGATCTCTCAGTGGCATGTCACTGGGCTGAAGCTGCCACGGAAAATGTCCAAACTGTCAAACTGAGATCATCGTCTCACATTCCAGCAACCTTCCAAGCATCGACCCTTGCTCTGCTGACGGAACCCCGAGTCCTGGGTGTGAGCTGTCATGCTCCGTGACACCTGCCCAGATACTTGTAGGTGTAATACCACCTCCCGAGGCTGTGCACACCTCACAGGTTTCTCTCGAGGTCTCCTGGGGGATGAGGTGGGACATGCAATGACAGCCAATCAGGGCCCAACAACTGTCACGGGGAGAACCACCATGCGGGCTAATTTCAGGGGTGTCCCTCTTTTCCCTGCAGATCTCCCTTCTGACCTTGCTGTCCCTCTGCAGACAGGGTGGGGCAGAGAGAGGATGGGGCAGGAGGTGTAGGACATCGGGCAGCCCTTGACACAGCCAGGGACGTGCCTGGGAGCTCTGTGGGGTGGAGCAGGGGCCGTTCCCCACAGTCACACAGACAACACAGGTCAGTGCAGCCTCCAGGAAAGACTGCTGGCACGGAGGCATCCCTAGCTGCCCCTTCCCAAGGCCACTATCGGCAGGAGGACACACAAAGCGCAGTGCAGAGGAAAGATGCTGTGCTCACCTACGTTCCC